ACATTGCGATACAAGAGCTTGGCATTATTTTGATGGAATAACTTTATTTTATTTTTCTAAATCGAAATTTTTATCAATTATAATCGCAAAATGAATTGTATTCGATGTAATATGAAAATATGCAGCATAGAAATTTTAATTCTTGGAAGCACTGAAGAATCAGAAATATCGAGTCTGCACATTTTCACGAAAAACGGAACACACTTGCTACAAATTTTCCAATTGAAAATTATTTAACTTCTTTTAACTTTTATAAAACATGACACATCAGAGCTATTGCAATCCAACGATGGAACAAATCTTTAAAATTCTAAACGAAAATTTCAACAACAAAACATTCCTCCTCTTTAAATCAGAAGAAAAAGTTCCTTCGATATTTCCTCGAAAAATCAACAAATAACCGCGACAGCGGATTGATTTCACGAGAAACGAAGAAGAAGAAAAAAAGAAAAGAAAGAAAGAAGAAAGAAGAGACACGAGAGAGGCAGGGGTGACGCGTGTTCCTTCATACAAGAGGGTGGGGTGGAAAGGAGCGTTCCGCAAAGCGTTCCTTTCGCCGAGCACGTCGATAAACCACGCGGTTTTTCCTTCCAAGAATCCAGATCCGGAGATAAGAGTCTGTCGAAGGGCGAAGATGAAAAAGAGCATCAATGACGGAACCACGTTCCCCCTCCTCCCTTCCTCCTCTATATTTATTCTGTCGCCTATTGGAAGGCCTGGCACAAAGAGAGGCTCGCCTTGGGGGCAACGATTTTCCACGAACAGGAGAAAGAGAAGAAAGCGAAAAGGAGAAACGAAATCCTTGGATGGATGAGGCGAGAAGAGGTCGAAGGTGAGGGGGAACAGAGAGAGAGAGAGGAGTGGAAATGAAAAATAGTCTCGAGCCGAAAGTAACTACCGGCCCTCCTACCTACAGATAAGGGAAAATAACGAGGCCGACAGCCGCGTGGAGGGGAACTAATTCGGCGCATATTTCACACACGTCCGCTTTACGGACGTTAAGTATAGGTAAGCACGACCGTTCCTCGGGATAAAGGAATTAATTGCATTGCCCCTCCGCTCCCCATCCGTCTTTTTCCTTTACCGACTTTTTGCCCTCGGGCCGCTCCTCCTCCACGACCTCCTCTTGGTGACCCAACTGTCTGCCGGCCGCGTGACTGGCATCTGACGATTTTTCGCTCGATATTTTTCTACTCGTTCTGTGTGTTCACGCGGTGGTTTCGATGCCGAAACCAGAGCGTTGCGTTGTTAAATAAACACACGGCGTTTGCTCGGGTCGACGGTTTTGATCGAATTTTTTCGTTAAAAGAATAAAACGATTTTGGCCTTGGAAGGCCAATTCTTAAGTTCAAGTTTTGAAGTAACTTTGTGACCTAAAATTTTGGAATTTTGCATTGGATAAGAAAGTAACGATTTATTGATATTCCATTGAAATAATAAAAAATGTGTTCGGACAGTTTCGTGTCAATTATATATCTTGTAATATCATTTAAATCCTACTTAGAAAGCTATGAATCGTTGTTTAATGGTTTAAATTTCCCTTATGATTATGGAGGGAAATAAATATTTTATATGCTTGCACGTGTGTGCAACATTCGTGGTAGGACAATGGATATTCATAGGCAAGCGAAATATTAAAATAATTTACGAGCCAGCTAGTTTCAAAAATTATCTTTATATATAAATACACGATGCACATTTTTATTTAATGGAAATCGTTATTATTTCATTACCCAAGCCCCAGAGAAATTTCAGTATTTGTTTCAGAGTTCAGTTTCATCGTCGTTGTAGTCTAAAGTTAAGAGTAAAAAAAAAGGAAAAAAAGGAAAAAAAGCGATGTTCCCGTATGCTTACTCAAAGAGAGAATTTGCACATTCATGTCGCTGGCATCACTTTGAACCTCTTTGAAATCATATTATCTGTAACCAGAAAGTCTTTGATCGTTCCACTAATAGCGAAAGTAATTGAACCGGGTTTATAGAGTATTAATACATTCGTGAGGATACTCTTCGAGGATTCAAAATAAATGTAAAAGTTGACGCAGAAGAATTTTTAATCGATCAGGCTTATTTATCGAGTCACACAAGCGATCCAAATTTTCCTTGGATAAAGCGAGATGAAGAGAGAAACGAGATATGTGCGAGATATAATAATTGGAATTACAAAATTACGGATAAAAAGGTCCAACCAGGTTGTTCTTAAATATATAAACTGATGAGATTCTCACGGAATCTCTCTTCAATTCTTTGAAAAATTTGAAAATTAAGATGCTTATTGAAACTTTTATTTCATTGTACACAAAAGACAGATGCTCGAGAGAAACACTTTGTCAGTAATAATTCCTTCGAACGAATTGAGAGAGCTGTCTCACTTCGTCGTAATGCAATCGAAATTTTTCACGAAACGTCAATCAATAGCCTGTATAAAAAGGAGGAACCGTTTTTAAAACGTTCGTTTCATAAAAATCGAATTATTTTAGGGAGAGATCGTCTGTCAACGTTTGAAAAAAAAAATTAAAACAAAAGCTACCACAGAAAATGGTATTACGGATCTATTCGAAACACATGCAGATCCACAGCAGGACAGGATTCGGTTCAATAAAACTTGCATTCCACGAAAATGCAGTTCTGCCAGTGAAACTTTTAGCGGGATGATTAACGACCGCCATAAATTCAAAGTTTCTCCATCGAGGGATTTATATTCGTTGCACTGGTTCACTCTCCCGCAGAGAACGCGAAAAAAAACTTAGGAAACAAGCAATTACTGTCGTTTCGTTCATTCGCCGTTGAATACGCGGTGATAATTGTTTCGTCGCGTCAAACCTAACCTAACCTAACCTAACCTCACGATACATTTAGACACGCGTCTTGGTGATATCGGATGTTTCATTCGAGACTTTTGTACCAAAGATTGAAAGGCTTCCGGATATTGATTTTCGCTTTGCAAGCGCAAGAAACAGTTGTAAAATGGCGGAGGATGTAACGGGATGCAAAATGGCTGTGCATGATTCGATGACGAATCTTCTGCTTCCCAAAGAAAAACCGAATATAATTCTTTTTCATCTTTTATCTATTTTTTTTTTTTTTTTGGAAACGGTTATAAAGGCAATCGTCATGGAATAGGAAATTCTTATAACAATAATTTTCAAATAATTCTGTACTATTAAGAGTTAATTATTCGAAGTTTTCTATTCGCTTCAATAAATACAACGAATAAGAATTGAAAAGAATCGAATCTCAAGATCATACATCAAGTGATACATCAAATATTGTGTGATAAACAAGAATATGGAATGGAAACATCACGCTGATATCTTTGGTAAACAGATTCGAATTGAGAGTATATCGATATCAATTCCTTTTAAAATTACTTACAAACGTTAAATTAAATAAAATAGTTAGAAATGAAACATCCATTATTCGAATACAAGTATATATTTAAATTATTCGCGAAATATAATTTATTCTTTCCAATATATTTCTCTTATTATATTATATATTCTTTTATCTAATAAACATTCATATTTGAAAATTGTTCATTTTTTACTTCGTGATGGATTGATGAACGCGTCTCTGATAGATTATTCGAATAATGGGATATTCCTACGAATTTCTCTCGTAATTAGTTCGAATGATCGACGGGTTTCTATCGTAATTATATCGTGAACGACGACCATTAATGGTTTTAATTAATATTAAGTAGGCATAGAGGTCGGCTATATCTTCGAATATTTGTGTTTTAATTAACGATCGATCCTTTAATGCACAATCCTTCCTTATTGTTTTCGAGATTGAAATATTCACCATTGCGAACGATTGTTTTTGATGAAAACTTTCCGCCTGTCAATTTCAAGCCTCGAATTGGGGGAAATAGCAATTCTCCATTCGATGGAAGATGAAAAATTGTGGGGTGATCGAGATTAAAATTCTAAATAGATTTATAAATTCACGAAAAGTATTTAGATTTCGTGTACAGCGTTTCTACAGTGAGCGATAGATAATCGAAGATATAAAAGAAAGAATAGAATTTTTTCATTTTTATTCGAGAAAAAATTTGAATTTTCAATAGAAATTGGCTAACTTTTGATTAACCAATCAATTATCCAACGAAATAGGCAAAAGATGTGTAAATAAATTTTTCTCATTTGAGAATTAATTTTCGAAAAAGTTTAAAAATTCAAAAGTCGAATATATCTTCGACTTTCGTGAATATCGCTTTTAACTCCAATTGGAAAGCAAAGTATCGACGAGGTGGAATTTCTATTCTTTCTTTGAGATTTATTTCTTCGCGAGGAATCATCTTTCGTTCGATTGCAAATAATTGGACACCCTATATTTAACCTTTTCATTTCTCCTTTCAATGAAAATATCAAAAAATTCCCTTTCAACATTTACAATAATGAGAATTCTTTTCTCTTCGTTATATACATTCTTTATACGTTATTTTCAACTATTATTTAAATTTCATTTCTTTTCTTCCTTTTTTCGATCAATTTTTTCTTCCCACGAAAATTTTCAAAAATTTTCCTCGAAATACATATCTCAGTAATGAGAATTCTTTCCCCCCTCTTTATTCCTACATTTTTCACCTTATTCTCAACTGTTCAAACAACTCGGTTGTTTCTTCACTTATTTTTCATTCTCGTTCGTGCTCTCCATTTTAATACTTTTTTCACATGCACGCGCAAAAGGATTTAACGGAATATTTATCGTTAGACGACAAACTTTTCAACTTTCTCGCTTCTGCATAACGATTATTAAACACTTTCTACAGGTATATTATTGAATTTAATACTTTTTGAACGTATTCGACGTATTCATTTACGTAATATATATTTGCCACAAAATATGGAAGAAACGAGAATAGAAATTCCGCCATGAATCACAATAAGAAACACGAGAGAAATGTTAAAATGAAAATCGATAAAAATGAAATTCGTGTCCTCTCGTCTCGATTTGAGCTCGTTCGACATTAAATTTTCGTGAAAGTATCACACTTACCTTTTCCCCGCTGTCGCTAGGTAGATAAAACGTCAGTACCGTAAGAAAGGAAATTCCCATACACGGAATAATTATGTTCACGGTGTAGAAAAGTGTTTTTCTTCGCATTGTTATATTAAATGTAATATCCAGGTACGGCTCGTCGCAGCAGGTGTAAAATTTTTCGTTTCTGCGGAAAAAGAAAAAGAAATGGGAAATTTACAAATTAATTCGACGAATTAGAAATATCAAATCACGAAAATTTTTCCAATTCACGATATTAAAATTCTAAATAAGTTTATAAATTTACGAAAAGTATTTAGATACGAAGGAGAGAATAAAAATTTTTTCATTTTTATTTCGAGTAAATCAAAGTATTTGAATCGAAATTATTTTATATCTTGTTATTAACTATTTATTAATTTTACTCATCGATCGAATCGAGGAAAATCAAATCAAATACGCGATGTGTTTTAAAAGAAAATATTGTTTCATTTGTTTTCGCAGGAAAAAAAAAAAGTAGACGGACGAGTTTTATATTGAAAAAATTTTTCATCGATGCTTCTTCTCCAACAGGCGGCGATTTTTTACAGCACAAATTCTGTCAAACGACATGCAAGATGTCCATTCCCTCGTCCATTCACTCGATCGATTGAAATTCCGGTTGCAATTTAGAAGCGTCTGACCATAGCAACGATATTCCACTTACGCGACAAGTCGTTTAAATATCTAACGAAAACCTATTCGACTGAATGTCACGTCATCCTTTCAGAAAGGAAGAAAAAAATTCGCAAAAACATCAGACACTGAATTTTCCTTGGGTTCAGACACGTTTAATTGAATGCCGACCGTGATGAAGGACATTTAATAAACGCCAAACTGTTTTCGTAAAAATTTCAGCATTCTTTTCTTTACCATAGAATTATCTTCTTTCCTTCTATACAGCGAATAACAAAAGTATATTATTTTATTTTGTTCACGAAATTTCATTAAAAATTTTCATTGAAATTAGACGAATCTTCTTGTGGCTGATTTCAAATTAATATTTAAAAATTCGATCAATTTGAAATAAAGTTTCGAATGGAAGTAAGCGAATGTTATTTTTATTTCGTGTTAAATTAAAATCTTGGAATAATTGAAAGTAAGTAAGAAATATCGGGGAACAGTTAGAAATATATATTTTTATCTATGAGTGATAGCATGCTCACCGTACTGCAGGTACTTCTAAAATATCCCATTCTACCGACATGTAGAATTCGGAGAGATCGACTCCGACATCCACCACGTTGCTTCCCGATTTCTCATCCATGTGCCTTAGATCGACCTGCTCGAAACAAAAGAATCATCTGGATTAGCATCTTTCCCGCAAAGATTATTTTCTAAATTATTAATTTTCATGCCCACGTAGTTTACTTTTTAACAGACGAACCTGCAGCCTGGATGACAATCCTCTTTTTTCCTCTTCGCCATTCTTTGATTGATTATTATTATTGGATCGATTAGTTCGATCGATTAGAAAAAATTAAAATACTTGAAATCGCTTTTAAAAATAGCATTCTTTTTTTATCTTTAACAATATTTTCTGATTTCTATAATTTTATTTTTTATAGAAGAAACATTTTTATTGTAATTTTTATATATATATTTATAGAAAATATTCTTTTTTATCATATTTCATTTTTATAGTATCAAAAATATTATTAATTAAGTGAAATATAATAATTGAATAATAAATGCTGTAATAAATACAACAATAGACTAATACTTTTTAATACTATTCACTGTATATTTCTTTTAAGAACAAATCGTACGATGAAATTTCTTATTAAATAATTAACTTCATCGTATCGTCAAAAACATCAATTTCCAATTCTTCGATCCAGAGTATCGAGAAAAATTTTAAAAAGTGCTAGCAAATAGATTAAAATTCACAAAAAGCAAGCTTTCAGGAATCACCTTCAAAAATTCTTGGCGTCGAAAATTAAAAGGTGTCTCCTCCTTGGCTGCAAGTTAGTTGTTACGGGCTAAATACGAACAATAAATTCCGAAATGAAAGTTAAAGTGCATGTCTCGTGATGCACTTAGTGTTCGCAAAAGCGCAACGGGAGCAAAACACTAATAAATAGTCTGGATGAAAATGGACCGCTCAATCGTGAAGGCCCAGAAAGAATCTATATAATAATCAACTATCAGCAGAACGTCCTCATTAACTATGCCTTCGCTTTCAACTATTGTGCAGCATGACGAACAAACAAATTCGACACTGAAAAAATCAAACTAATCGCTAAGCAAAGTTCCTAATTCGTTCTTGTCGGAGAAACGAATATAATTTTTATTTTCGTTTTTCTCTCTTTTTTTTTTTTTAAATCACACGACAATTTTAAGACTAAATCCTGACTTGTTTCATTTCCATTTAAATCGCGGGACAATTCTTGAACGAACCGAGTTCACACGGCAAAATTATTAAACTAAATGCGATTAAACGATGACTACACGTATTATCACAGGTCATTTACATGATTTCTCAGCGTTCGATTTGATCTCTTTTGCGAGAGTCTTTTTTTTTTTTTTTTTTTTTTTTTTACTTCTCTAAGCGATTTCAAGCGAATGCTTCGAATTTAAAGCGGTAAACTTGGATGCACAATACCGTGCAAAATTGTCGCTGTTTATCTTCGTCGATGTTTGAATGAGAAACAAGTAAAGAGTTGGGTATAAGAGGTATAAATATCGTAGCAAGAGTTCGTTTCATACGCAATGCAAGATGCAATTATCATTATCAAGAAGGAGTATTTACACATTATTTTTTGGCCATTGAATTGGTGCAAAATTAGTAATGATAATTTAATTTAATTGAAAAGTGCGAATTAATATCGTTCGTTTGTCATTGAAGATGGAAATAATTGTAAATGAAGTGAATTAAATCAATGTAAAAGAGAGGTAAAAGAGAGAGTTTCATCATGATGAACGTGAATAATTCAAGATTCCAAAACATTCCGTAAATAATATCAGTGCATCATTCAAAAAAAGTATTTTACAATTATTATTTTACAAATATTATCATTTTCGTTTTTCTTTAAATGGAACGACACGTATCGTTTTATCGATGCTTTTTTGCACGGTATTGTTGTTCGCTAAACTGTTTAACTCCTTCAACGTTGCACATTCAGAAACATATTTGTATGCACGTAAACGGTGCACACAAGCAAAACTTCATACATACAAAAGTATCGACAGAGAAATCTTAAGCAACGATAATACACAAGAACGTCGCACAACTAGCGCAATATATAATATTAATAATTTGTATGCAATTGCTTGGCTATCGGCGTTCCAATAATTAAATATAAACGAAGCGGTGTGCTTCATTTCGAAACTAGAGGGAAATTCGGATGGTGTATGATACATGTAAATAGAATTTAAAAAGAATGTTTCGAACAAATGTAAATTTTCGTAACGATACGAACGTATTTAATCGCGAAATGTCAAATATGTGTTCATAATATACAGAGTTACCGACTGATGGTACAAAGGGATGAATCTATATATAAAAATAAGTCAAAAAGAGAAAAAAAATAACGGGACTTCATTTCCGAGTTCAAATCGATGTTGAAGATTATACGTGCACTTGGCTATATCGTAAAAAAGTTTTTGTTACGTTTGCATTCATGAATGCAACGAATATTAGTCAAAGTCAAAGTTCCATTTGTTATTCTATCGATATGACAGATAATCGACGTGGATCTTAAATACATCCAACTACATCTAATAATACATTTCTGTAGTATAGTTTTATTATGCATAGAATTATTAATTCTATCTTTTCGATTTATTTCGCATATAGAATCACTTCTTTTTAATTTATTTACCATCAGTTTGGTAACATCTTATATAATTGTACGTAAAATATTTAACTAAATATTTCAGGACGCATGCGAAAACGCATAATTTCCTAAATAATTTTTCTTTTTCCGTTGAAAGTTATATCGATAACTTTAAAGAAAAATAAATTCTAAATATATATTCATATCTACCTATTAATTAGATATTCGACAAATAAAAATTATGGGACACGAATTAATGGTTTTTTAGTGGCTAAATTGAAATTAATAATCTAATAATTAATAATGTGTTTTTTAATAATTATTTTTTACTTTATTATTGTTTAAAAAGAATTCAACAATAAATTCTCTTTCATATTTAATTAATTCTCAACATTCTGTGCAAAACATGAACAATAAATTTCATCAAGAAAGGAATTATATTTAAAAAAAAAAAAAATACACTTTGAAATAAAGGTATTTTTTATCGAAATTAAATTTCCATCCAATTTATCAACAGTTTTTGTTCAATTATTTAAAGGATATAATTTGAACGAAACTACGTTAACAGTAATTAAATTGATATCTGTTAATTTATAATTCGGTTGACCTTAATTTATTTCACTGGAGAGTTTAAAATTAACTAATTCTGACGACAAAATCGTGTTTTTAAATTTCCATCCAATTATTAAAACGTTTCATTATTTTTAAATTTATTTTTAAACTTTCATTACTTTATTATTTTTTTCATGTATAGAAATATATATGTTCATGTGAATTTTTTTATCAAACATTATTTACATTTATACAATTACAAAAATTTCTTTTAGCGAATATTTTTTAAACAAAATTATGAATAATACTCTTGACAACATATTTTAAAGCTGCTGAAAAAAGTAGAATTTCTAAATAATAACTAAAAAAAACTTCTATGCGAGTAATTACGTTTAGAATGCTTCGTTAAAAACGAAATTTCTTTTTTCTTTGAGTTGGTTTGAGTAAATTATGCAAAATTTACTCAACTACATACAAGAATATCTCACGAATGATGATACAACCGTGAATGGAATGAAAAAATAAAAAATTTGTCATGAGATTTCGAATAAATCAAATCATTTTTCAAAAATTTTCAACTACAAATGAAATTGTCAATGTTGACATATAGCCACTTATCAAGTTTGACATACGAATCAATTATCGACAGGATTAATATAAAATATAGAATATAAAATAAATTTTTTCCACGTGAAAATTAGTTTCTCTCGAGAAAATTGAATTTGAAAAATTCGAAAACACAAAAAATAGGGCTTCGACGATAAATAAATTTTGTTCTGCTCCAATCAGGAATTAATTACTAATTTTACTTGCATTTGAAAAAACTTTCAAATTTCGAATAAAAAGAATTTACATTCAATACGTACAACTTATTTTTCCACATAAAGATTCCTCCATGATCGTGCCATCATCCGTGAGGCATTCTGTGTATCTATCTATCGACGAATTCTTGGATTTCTGTTCAATCGTGATGTATCCGAAGAATGGATTCGCATCAGCAGCGCGGAAGCAAAGTCCAGAATCTTGCAGTCCGAATCGATATTGGAGATGAAACGGTAAAAATATTCGGAATATATTCTTTTCACAGATTTTCCGCTAAGATTCGAGAAGCACTTTCATCTTGGGTGAAAGCACTTGGAGCCCAGCAACTTTGCCAAATGTCTTTTTTCGGTCCCTGCAAATCTTATCGATTGTTTCGTACCAATATTCTTTCCAATATTTCTCGCTCTGCTCTTCTCTCTTCTCCCCGTTTCGCACGACATTTTAATCCCGCCATATCATATAATTTTTAAAATTATTGTTGTTTCCAAAGAAATGATTATTTAATGACTGAATGAGTTACTTTCGATGAAACGCTTCTTCTGAGGAATTGCAATAATAGATTCGTAATACGTAAATAATATTAAGTGTAAAATAATTTTATTCCATGTTTTATGTTAAATTTTTCATATATATATATATATAGAAATTGATAGTTATTTATTGTATATTTAATTAATTTAATTAGATGCATGAAATAAAATGTTTTTCTGGAATAAAATTCTCTCGTAATTATTTGGATATTTTTGCTATTTTTGTTTTCTAAAATTTCTGTCATTTACGTTAAATCATTTTCACGAAATGAATGTAGAACAAAAGATTCATTTAATGATTTAAAAATTTTTAAAGGTATTTTTTTAACTTGTCATTTGTATTTAGATTTATAAAAAATTTATAAAGTTGATAATTAATTATTTTTCTTAACAACAACTTAGCAATTACTTGATATGTTATTATAATTATTATTCTATTTATATATTCCTAATTTTTGATCGTACTATATTTTAGCATCGTCCATAAATTAAATTATTTGATCGTATAAAATTTTCACCAAATATTTCGAAAAAAACGTTATTGTAACAATTTGATACAGGTAAATGAAGATTTAAATTTTATTTTGAACAATATACATTTATACTTCGATTATTTTTAATTTCCAATTAAAAAATTAATCAATTACCCGATAACTGAGAGAAGGGCAGACACGATAATCAGTCTAATAAACTACAATATAAATTTTTTAACATTAAATGCGAATAATTTTATCGACACACAAATTTATATTATAAAGTTCACAATTAAAAATACAAATCGATATTTCATTCGTAAATTTTGATAACGATATCTTCAATATTGATCTTATATTCAAAAATACATCACTCCACTATTTTTACTTTTACTTTTTTTATCTAAATCCCAATAAATTAGCCTTCTTCGGATTATTTACAATTTTCAGAAACACCTTGTAGAATTCTCGTTTGAAATTTTTCCGTAATAATAGGACATCGAGTATCCTAATTGCTGCCGACTTGCCCAAGGGTCAAGCCTTTATCCTCTTTTTGGCGGTCATAACGAGTGCTCGCTTAACCCGCACCTTCAAGCTGCTTTTTCTCTTTCGCTCATTTACATTCTTTCAATCTAATCGATCGCTATTTTTCACTGTCTATTTTAATTTTCCTGCCAATTCCTCCTCTTTTTTTTTTTTTTGCTTCATTATTTGATAATTCGTCTTTGAACAATTTGTTCAATATTCTTTCGCGAACGTTTCTTTGAGGATAGATACTTTCTCAATTAATCTTTCTTTGCTACGATGTGTAATTTAACGGCGATTAATAATAAAATAAATTTTTATAAAGGGAAGAGTTCGTTGTCCGAGGTTTTAAAATAATGAAAATAAATAATATATTATTCAGTTATCCGTGACGAATGATAGCGAAAGAGTCAAGGATTAATTCATAAATGTTAATTAATTATTTTTTTTTTATTTGTTTTAAACGAAAATCATTTAACAATATTCATATTAAGATACATTTCTTTTTGTAATGCACATTAGAAACGATGTGAAACGTTTCGAGATGCATAGAATATGGAAAATAAAAAAAAAAAAAGATGATTATCGGATTGGAAATTGAGTTTTTTTTTTTTTCTCTTTTTTCGTATCATCGCGAAAGCAGGAATGATCGATGTTGCCAAACGATTACAAACGCTGACAGAAGGAATACGGCGCATAAATCATTTGGACTGAAATTTCGACATTCGTCTTCATTTTATGATGAATAAGGAAATATTTGTATGACGTGAAATTTGTGTTCCCGAGAAAAATGAATGAAGTGCGATGATAAGCTCGAATAGAAATAAACATTAATACTTTTTATTATTTCTTCAATATTCTTTAATGATAAGAAACAATTAATAATAAAACGTTAATAAGATAAAAATTTCATTGTGTTAAAAGTGTTAACACGGAAAAAATATAATAGAAAAATAATTTAATAATCAACTGTTCATAAGTCTCAATTCCAAAAAAGCAAAAAAAAAAAAAAGAAGAAAAATTAAAAATCTTGAAACCATATTTATTAAATATTCTTTAAATAGATTTTATTTGCATAAACATTTGATATATAAAATGTTTGTAAGAAAGCAAAATAGATACCACAGTTTGAATAAATAATAGAAGAAGCAATTGAAAAACATAAATATAAAACATCGATAAAAATTGAATTGAATCATAATGTCAAAGATCAAAACATATCTATAATACGAATGCGACATAAACATACTTATAATGCCATTCCAAATCGATATTAACTTCAATATTTGCCAATTAATTCCGATCATTCCGTTTAAAATTTATTTCTATTCGATAATTACAAACTTCATAAACAAATATACGCATTGCAAATAATTTCATCGATATTTTAATCCCCACCACTATTTTAACATACAGTTCCCAATTGCAAATTTTACTTTTACACCGCTTACCAAATTGACCACATATTGCAAACACCTTACTGCATTAAACTCCAATTTAAATATCCCGATATTTATTACCCGAATATCTTCTTCCCGCCAATTTCGATTCTCGTCGAAATAAAATGGCCGAATATCGCCGACTCCTCGTAAAACGCGGATTATCATTTTCGGTTCATTGCCGAATATCGAGGTTTTTCGACGAGGGCCAGCGTAACGAGTTTCGCGAAAATTATCCATTATCACCGCTTTGTCGCTATCATTAGGCGAAAATTGCGATCTCGTCCAAGTTTGGATCTCGGGTGCAATCTCTGCTGCCAGCCATGGCCGCACACTACACAATCGACTGTTAAATGGGACATGCGACCGCCACGGTGAATATTTCACTTTCACTCCGTTCGAGGAGTTCAAATACGTTTCTCTCGAGCATCGGGCGAATTACCGCGAATTTCCATCCTTCTCTGTCGCCCTCCCCACTCCCGTTCCAACCAGCTCGTTCCCTTTCCAGCACGCGGGGCGGCGCTGCGTGCGCGTATTTACAGTGTTGTTCGCATTGATGTTAAACAGGGTATGGATTGCGCGAAATCGTACGGCCAATAACGAATCGATTGTTCCAAACGTGATATCGTGGAATTAAACGTTTGTGCTTGTTCAACAATACCGCGCGATATCCGAATGTTTAAATGCAGAGATATTTGCCATTCAGTTGGGCAACGAGTATCTCGTGTGTTGATGGGAAGATTGGAGGACCAAGTTGGACCAAGTATCGGGATTATTTTAAATTCTTATCTTAATTTCTGAAATAATTCAGAAATGAAATTTTTATTTTAGGGTGCTTTATTTTATGAGTGCTATGATTGGGTTATCTTGGGTTGTGTTACTTTATCTTAACGTTTCGATGTCTGGTATTCTTTTAAGAGAATATTTTAGGTTATGTTCGCTATGTTAGGTTATCTTAACGTGGTTTTGGTGACTTAATATTCTTTTTAAAAGAATATTCGTGATATTTGATTATTGAATGTCGAAAATATTTCTCCGCATTAATCGTCCAAATGAATGAGATTGTTAAAATTTATTTGTTAAAATTAATAAAAATTAGTCTATTTTCGTTCCAAATAAATATCTTATTATATTTTTTAATAATAGCTTTCAAAGGAAAGAATAAAGGATTAAATACGTTATATTTATACGATATGTTTTTAGATTTGCTTTATATCTTTCTTTGCCAAATAACTAATCACAAAAATTGTTTGAAATAATTGAAACTGGAATGGTAATGCCAACTTTTTCTTTACTTTATATGAAAAGAAGGATGGTTGATTAAAGTATTATAAAAAAGGAATTTCAATTTAGAAAACTTCCATATTGAAATATGGAATTTATCAATAAATATTTTATCGTGAAAATATTTGACATAATTTTTACAATAAATCAATTTTTTCTTATTTCAAATTGTTTCAAGCAATCAGATGAAACAAATAATTGTTATAAAGGCACAAACAAAAGTTATATTCATTTAGGAATATTTCAAAATAAACTTATGTTATTTTAAATATCAATTTGTAGAATATATTTTTATTATTATATATTTCTATCGATTCTTTAAAATAAGACGAAATTTCACCACATTTTAACAATAATACAGATCTCTTCAACACCTCAACGATACTTTTTCCCCTCATCAACTATCACATTATCGAAGCTAAAAATGCAGAACGATTCAACGGAGGGAGCTGTACGGAGATAATTTGTCCAGGTCCCGGTGCCAAAAGCCTAGGTAGGAAACCGCAAAAGTTGGCAGACTTTCGCGCAAGATTCCTAACGGTGTGAATTTTGCCTCGCGAGTCAAACCGAAATTAATCGCGTTCCTTTCTGCCAGGAACCGCAGACGTATGCACGTCCGTAGTGAACGTAACAAGCCTCCTGAGACCACTCAACAGGTATATACTGCTTTATGAGCCACATCACAGGCTTTTGGTTGAATGACGTCGTGTAAATAACATGCAGAGGCTAGACATTTCATATTTAACGCGTTACGTATCAGCGTTATAATATTCCGGGTACACGAGTCTCGCTGCAAATGAATGAGATTACACGTTCATCTTCGATTTCACGAATAATTAAATCGGTTCTTTTAACACGTTTTACGAAAGTTACACACAGGTTAGTCTTTCGAAATAATAAAGTAATAGGAGCTGATTCTATCTGATGACATGGAATATGAAAATTTTAAGTCGAATATAAATCTTCTCTGTATATAATTATATGATCCTTAAAAATATTTTCTATCATCATTTATCTATTAATCGTGATGTAATTAATTCAACTTCGATTTCGTATCTAATTAATCCTTTATATTGATTTGTTCTTGTCACGATTACACATGATAAAGTTACCTATTTGCTTTCAAAATATTGTAATTAATATCAAGGGAGATATTCCACGTGTTAATTTTGCGAAGAAACGAAAATTGAAATTTAGAAATTTTATTTATTTTAATATGTTTTTAAGAATTTGATATTTGATACGGAAAATATGTAACGTACTTTTTGTAATTATTATATTTTTAAAAAGTTGCATATGTTTGCACGTACAAGTATATATTTATACAATTTTATAAGCATGCTATAATAAAAAAAGAAATATTTAATCCAAGTTTCATTTTCTACCTCAATTATTTATTATTTTCGTGTATCTAAAAAAATCCCAGAAAAAAATTCATTTATATCTATTTTCAAATCTATTTTCTTTTTTATATATTCATTGCGATGTGATAAAAAAAAGAATAAGACACTTTTGTTTTACATTACAAATAAATATTTAAATCATTAGATAATTAGAAATAAATTTGATATTCTTCTATTATTCTTCAATTATTGTTCTACTTCCAAATGATCCAAATTTATATATTTCTTGTGAGAAACGTTTTGATAAAACATAACCTCACTTTGTAATAAGCGAAGAGTGTGCAGAACATTCAATAAAAAAGCATAATCATTGAACAACTAATCTTTCATTAATTCTTCTTTTATTTTCATTATGGATTAATTTTGAAAAAAGATTACATTGCTTTGAATACATTGAAAAGAAGATTATATTGTTTGAATTTATTCCACTTGGAATGTATTTCTATTAATAAAGAAAATTGCACCTCCAATGTATCAATAATTCGTTTCAACAAAAATTCTGAAAGCGAGAGAATACAGGCTACGTCGTAAAGAAATGATAAAAGTAGCTTTACGTTACACGCCACTTTTTTCATCCCATTATCTATTTCACAAACTAATTAAACGCAATTTGACGTTTAAAATGATAAATGCGCCTACATCGCTACGCGTTTGTCGCCACGATTTAACACGGCGTTCGCCATCATATGGTAAGCTGAAACGCAGTGAGACGGATTGAATTAATTAAAAAGGCTCGCGCATGAGAGATTATTTTCATCGCAGTGAAAATTTTAATGAACTTCAACGGTGGTCGGCCGCCTTCATAAAGGCTTAATACGCTAGAAAATAGCGTCAAAGTTGGATTTAAACCGACGGCGTGCGTAATTAATCATGCCGCGATTAATCGCCAAAAAGACGTCAAAAATCTAAATTCAGAAATTAATCGCGTGCGATCAAATATTACGAAGACGAGTTGATAAAGAATTTTCGTTTTGGAGAATTTCTCACGAAAATGAATTGTTGGTTAATATATTAATCAATTTCTTTGTTCGAGAAATATTTTTCTCGAAAAAATTTTACCATTCTTACTTTCTCACGAGAAATTTAATAATTTCAGTTGGAAAAAATACAAGATGCACGGGTGATGTATAGAAAGAGTTTTTGGTGAGGTTTTTCGGATTGCATGCGACTCACGTGGAATCGATTCGGGACGAACGAAAAAAAAAAAAAAAGAGAAAAAAGAGAAAAAAAGAAGACAGGAAGAGGTGAAAAAAAAAGGAAGGAAGGAAGGAAGGAAAGGCTAGGGCAAACAATTAAACTCCGTATGGAGGCACGTAGAGAGAGGTAGTGGCTGGCTGCGTGCCTCGAGAAGACGGAATAAAGGGCGCTATTTTAGAATTTTAAATTCGCTTGCATCACGGCGAACGACGAGTCAACTTCCGCCAAGTATTGTTTACGTGTTACGCGTCTGTAAATAAGCAATAAACTTGCTGTCCTTTGTCGCTGAAGTGGAGAGAAAGAATGCTTCTCGCGATAAAACATTTTTCTTTCTCGATAATAATTGCTTGGACAAGCTTTACTTTAAGCGATTGTTAAATTGTTAAAATATTGCTTGAATAACATTTATTTCGTAGCTTTGCTCCTCGTTATAATAACCCCTTCGCTACTAAAGTTATTTGCGGTTATTCGAATAACAAATTGTTCGAGGTAACTTTATTATTCTTAACTTCAATTATCAAAATTTCGCCCAAAACTCTGCTCGTTTAGATTTATTAATAGGATTAATTATATTTATTATTTGTTGAGATCGCTCGAATAATCCAAGAATCTCTTTATTTAAACCGTTCATCGACAAATCAATTAACTGTTTCAGTAATTTAATTGATTTGTCGATCGAAAGTTTGAATAGTATAAAGAATTAGTATAAATAATTTTCATGTGAATTAAAAAATACAGTGACTCGTTCGAATAATATCATATTAGAGAAATTCATCTAATCTGATGAAACTTTGTAGAGTGCAATAAATTATACAATTTTTTTGTATCGACAGGAAATCTCTAAGAGATGAAATCAATCCTCAAAATTTCAATACTTTTTATATTTTCGAATACAATTTTGGTTAAAAATTTTTTTACAACAGTATACTTAAAAAAAAGAAAAATGGCGTAAGAAATCCATATATTCGTAAAATTTTATTCGTAAAAAAAAAAGAAATGATTCAAATACTTTCACGAATATCTCTATATAATTATCTTTCCATTTTGAGTATTACTCGAAAATAAAAAATGTTTTTAGAACATTATAATTAATAATGTTTCAAGATAAACCTCTTTTTTTTTTGACGAAAAACGATTGAATTTCAATTAAAATTTCTTCTGACAAGTTTAATTAACATGTTAAACGCGGATAGAATATTTATAACTTAAAATTTTTAAGTAAATTGTCGTAATTACGCGACAATGCTCGTTTATGTCGCATTATTCTCGTTCGAGAATAATTATTCAAAAAGGTTTTTATCAGTTTTTCATCCTCGCTCTTTAATTATTCACAGCTGATTAAAGCTCCGACTTCACCGGAACATTTTCATTCCCGCGTTGTTCCAGAGAAATCACGTAAAAATTCGAAGCGTATTTGCATCGTTTTGGACTAAATGAGCTCTTTTCTAGGATCACTTTTTTCTTCCCCTCCTCCCCCTTTCTTCTTTCTTTTTCACTCTGCTCTCACGATGAATGAATGAATACGACAAAGAGTGGTTTATGATCTCTTGGCATTTGTCATCGGTACACTAGATCTAGTGGAACAACTCTGGTGATGAATTACAGAAAACAAACGACGGATGTGATTCCGACTCCGCCAACGGTTCCCCCATTTTTTCGCGAGAATCGACGATACAATGTGCTTAAATCAACGTCTCTCTCTTTCTATATTTTGATATACAATTGCGAAAATATTTTGCAAATACTCGTTTTGCAAAAAAAAAAAAAAAAAAATCGATAGAAAAATCTGAACGAGAGAGATTCTCTTCTTTCCCGTCGAAAAGTTTTTATCAAATCAGGTAGTAAAAAAAAAAAAAAAAGAAAAAAATATGAAAACCTTTTCTTAAAATAATATCGTTCGTTAACACAAACGAATTAGCAATCTTTTTCGAGAACATTTGAAAGAAATTATTCACGTATAATATAAAGATATTGCTCCAATTCACAGAAGATTAATTCTGTGTTGGAAAGATAAGTTACTCACAGTTTAAACCCTGTTTCATAACATGTTTTTACCCATTACTACGTTGATACGTATGATGAATTATCATACAGGGTATCTGTACATGCATTTTTAAAAGTTTTATGAATTTTAATTTCTCGCACAGTGACGTATCTAACAACTAAACCGTGGCCAAGAGCGTAAAATCCATTTATAACGAGAATTCTAAAAAAGTCGGTTATCGGTTTTCCCTTTCCCAAGTCCTCCCCTATCAGTTTTCCTCTTAGTTTCAACGGGCGAACAAATTGCATTTGATGGCTCGATCGAGTTTCGAAAATTGTATACTCTACGTAATATTCGTATTTATTCAAGAAGAATATATTTTAATCCAATCCAAAGAATGGAAATTAACTTGACTATACTCTTCTCGAGTATTTTCAATATATCCTCGAAAGAACGATGGAATTTAATTTTTTTTTTTTCTTTTTTTTTTCCATTCTTAAATTTTTCAATCTCTAGGACGAGACATGGGATGAGATGTTTCGAAACATTCCAATAAAATTGCTGGCACAATCGAGTTGATCTGTATTCCTTGTAGCAAGAAAGAATGGGAGGAGGACACGTTTCTCAACTTAACTCGATGTTTCCCTCCACGACCCCTTTTCGCCACAACACCCTTCCGCCCTCGAGAGCTTTTTAATGTGTGTGTTGTGTAATATGGCGCCAGATAAGCCAGGCCTATCCCTATTAATGCCTCTACTTTGTTCACATCACGAGTACAGGGATCGAGATTAACGTAAATCGCTCGACTCTGTAATCTTGGTGGACGAGCATTTAAATGATTTTTTTTTTTTTTTTGAAACGATTGTTAAGAATCAAGGATTTCTTCAGTATCAATCTCTGACAGATTAAAGACAGGGTGGGTGGGGAGAAGGGAGTAAGTATCGAATCCTTCGTTTCTCGTTTACTGGCTTCTTCTAAGAGGACATCGACGTAAGACCTTCTAAGCCCTGTTTTATTGAATCGTTGTGTTGCAGGAACGAACGAATTTAATGTGTGCTTTATACGATTCCTTATATCATCCTTCTGAAATCGGATGAAATTTCTGTTCAATTCTGTAAAATGTAATTATTATCGCTGGACGAATACATGGATGTTTTATTGAGAATAAATCTTTTTAAAATTAATTTTTGAGATGAACTATAAGGATTGCTTTTGCATCGATCAATATCGAAAATTTTTCTATTCTGATCCAAATTTCTTCACTCTCGCATTATTTTCACGTAACGAAATGTGTATTCGTTGAAAATAGATCGTTATAATGGATTGCATAAAAATATATGAACTTAATGAAAACAGTAGTTTCGTTTTCGTTGATCGAATTTATTAGAAATTAGTTGAATAGTAAGAAAGAATATGTTACTTTCATGTTATTTATATATTTATGGAAAATTTTAAAAAAATCTACAAATACATATTTAAAACGTGATTCCTATTTCAATTCCTTAGAATTTTCTTTGAGTGAAAATATCAACTTGCAATTTGTAAAACTTTCTACGCGACAAAATGTCGATTATTCGTGCATTTAGATCTTATATTATTAATTTTTGTCAATAAATTATTGTAGAAGAGAACTAATGTAGTGCACACAATTCGAGAGAAAGAGAGACA